GTAAAACTAATGAAAAATATTTCGAAAAAAATATTTTAAAAAAAACATTTACATTTTTTTAATTTTTTTTTAAATATCTTTTTTTTTGAATATTTTAGGCCTAGAGGGCCCTGGGCTGGCGGCTCGCCACTGCAACCAAGGTAACCACCCCCCCCCCACCTTATCACCTGAACCTCCTCCTAGAGCACCATTGTGTTCTTTTTAACCAAATATCTCTCAGAGGGGCGTGGGGAGTGGCTCCTTGTTTTCATCTAAAGTAACAGACAGAGAATCAACACTTTTGAAACAGGGCTGAAACAGAGGGGATTATGGGATGCTGCAATGATCTGTTTGGTATTTCGAGGCCAAACACTTCAGAGACATGTTTTGTATATATCTGAGACCTATAATATATTGAAGAAAAACAGTATAATAGGGGACCTTTAACATAATTAGCATAATAAATATTGAGATACGTCTAAAAGCAAGTGTTGTGATGTCAGTGACTGTTGCTCAATTTGATTTGAATATTAGGTGTATTGTTCCTCACCACTGCGTATGTTGAGGGCGTGGTGTTTGTCCAGAGACCAGCCCCCGAGGTTTGAGGGGACCAGTTCAAATCCCTGCATCAGAGCAGTCCTCCTCTCCCATTGGATGACGCCCGGACATGACTCATACTCGTAGCCGACGGATACTGAAATGCAAACACACAGACTTTATGTTATTTTCAGTAATAGCTATGTGCTGTAGACCTGCTGCGTCTCACACTACAGTATGTTCAGCCAAATGTGCTGATATTTGCACAGAAGTGACAGCCAGCCTTTAAGCTAAAGCGCTCCCACATTTCTCTCGAAACTATACTGTATTGAGTGTTGAGACAGATGAAAGGCCTGTGGCGAGACCTCATCAGCGTGTGTGTGTTTGAGAGGGATCAGGGAGAAGTGGAGGCGTAATCAGGAGGAGCCCGTCTTCATGAAGGAGCCCTAGAATTAGCTGCTGGCCTCTTAGTTGTAATGATACGCTGTGAAGCTTTCCACTAAGACTAACAATCAACGACAGCTTCTTTTTTTTTTTTTAGGCTCGCCATGATTAGACATGTTTCAACAGTAATTTAACCACTCAGCGCTCGGGATATGTTTGAAGGGAGCCGGTGACAAAGCCCTGGGAGTTCAGGAAAACATGTAAACATACAAACATGCCTCCTAACATGTCATTCTGAAACACACAATCAAACAGACAAACCGAAAGACACAAAGGCACTAAGTGTTCCGGCTTTTTAGAAGTAAAAAACAAAGTTCAAGTAAAACTTTAAAGGATTTCTATTTTTACTAGGTTTGGAGAGCTTTATTCATTTTGCAGATACATATTTTAGAGCCAAATCAAATGTTTAGCACATGAAGTACTTTCAGATTTGTTATTAAAGATGAGATTACCCCACATCGGTAGAACTAGTCATTTAAATCCGCTCTACCTCAATCCCCCATGAATATTTTTCTCAAAACACATACTGTATGCTTTTACTTTGGTGAAATGTGATACTTTCATTTCATACTTGATATATATTTTTTACTGATGCATCATTTATTTCTTTGAGACTTGTTAGCAAACAGTTGCTTACTTAAAGGGGCCCTGATATGTTCATTTTCAGGTTCATATTAGTATTTTGTGCCGCTAATGTTTTAATGTACAAAAAGTGCCCAGTCTGCTCTGATTGGTCAAATGCTTAGAGATATCCCGCCCCTTAGTCTATCACGTACAATGTGTTGGAGCGCTAACCAATGAAGCTTGAGTGTTATGCAGTGATGTCAATGTGTTAGGGTGGAAAAGTCTAATGCAGGGGTTTCAGGCACAGGGGGAGTGTGTGGAGGGAACACAGGGATTTTAGCCTTTTCCGACCATGTACATGCACAAAAACCTATACAACACACTACAAGAAAGGGATAACCCCAACAACATAACAGGGCCCTTTCAAAATTCCAACTGACACAGAGCAACATTATTTTTTTTTCTTATCTTGTTTCTAGAAAAGCGACAAATATGAGTTACATATTCCCTCTCCTTTTGGTTACCAAGTATCTACCTTTTCATAAATGCTTTGCTAACTTTGTCCGCTGTTGATGCAACCATGAAGTGGGTTGATCAGAGCTTGTGAAATAAAAACGGGTTTGTCTGGAAACCACTTTGATTGGACTGAAAAACTAAAACAATGAGCTGAAAGACACATAAATGTTTTTTTACCATGACTCTTTGGGAATTGAGACAATTTTCTATGGATTAAATATTGAAAGTGTTGCTTTTAATGAAAAATGTATTTATTATTGCATGCAGTTTTAGATTTCCAGTGAGCTAGCTTTAATTAAAAGTAACATTCACTGTAGGAGAGTTGACTTAGACTCAAAAGTCATTACAAATATCCTGAGGCTGTTTCTCCTCTTTATGCATGTATTCAAGGCATTCCGATGTAGACAGGCTCATTTATTTGAAAAACATTCTGTCCTCTCTTCCCTCTCTTTTGTTTTCAAGGTAATGTATAAAAACAGTTGTTTAACATAATGTATAATTAAAGCAGTAGGAGTTTAATATTTCAAATTATACAACATTGCTTAAATGCATATAATGATATATTGTGAGGGCAGCTTGCTTTGTTTGACACAGCTGTTGTGGAGAAGTGTTGTAGCTGTCAATCACTGCTGGCAACGATCTCTCGTAACTTTGCTTCACTGTAAAACAACATGCCTGTGAAGTGATGGGCACCCAAGGGAAACTGGGATGCAAAGCCGGCAGAAAGAAAGGTAGAGATGGTGGAATACGTAAGTAGTGGCTTCCGCATTAGATTGAAACTCAGGAGATTCACTTTGAGGGGGAACTCTCAGCAGACACACGAGGCCAACTTAAATCTCCACCTCGATGGTAAAATCGATAGAGTGATTGGGGATGGAAAATAATGGGTCATTTGGGACACTCGAGATTGTGAAAGAGAAAAAGAAACTGTAAGGTGTTCAACAAAAGTTCTTAGTCCAGGAACAATCACTTAAGTTCATTCAAGAGGTTCATTTGTTTCAATTTGTGTTTGTCTTAAGCTCTGATAGGCCTGTGATCTTGGGTTTTTGAAGGACACAAGTAGAACAGAGGGGCGTTGGTAGTACATTTACAATTCATGGTTTTAAATTGTTACATACTGTGCAATTTCCAGCCCTTAAAGTCACATTGCACCCCCCTTGAAGAAACAATTTCATGGCCTGGAAACCAATCCATCCTTATGAAAATGCATCAAAGGTTGCCATAAATACATTGCCTTCAGCAGGGACATTGTCCCTGTTTTTAGAAGAAGAAAAAAACTACAATACAAGTGATTTCATTTGAGAAACAAGGCTTTCACAGGACAAAACGGGCAAAGCAATCTCAAAGGGAAAGTGTCAGTGTTTTGAGAACTGCTTCACAACCAATATTGCTGTAGCTATATTACAAGAAACGACACACACACTCGCAAAAAACAAGCAAGTACACTTTGGTACATAAAAAGCACACTCAATATCTCACAGGTGAAAGCTTTCATTCCCCTCTGCTGAGGCCTCGGGCAATATGTTCACCCCGGCAAACAGAGCATGATCTCCCTCTCTCTTGTTCTCCCTGGCTATGTGTGAACACAATGGACACACACACAGGGGGCCGATGTGTGTGTCGTTGAGGGAGAAGGTCCTGTAGGAGCTCTTACACATGGTAAACAAATATGGGAAACTTGAAGGTGATATTATGCTCAAGTATCCTCAGGTGACAGTGTGCCTTCGCCTAAGCCTAAAGTTTAGAGGCGCTGCTCAACATAAACTGGCAATTAGGATATATCAGCGCAGGAAATGCCATAAAAATTGCATATTTCTTCACCTAGATTAGGCTCTAAGGACAAACAGGGATACAACATCCAGAAGTAAGGCTGAGGCTGAGGAGTATATTAGAGCTGCACAATATAGGCATATCTTTTTATCGTCATCAACTTGCATATACTTGTTTGTGCATATTGTAATTACTTTGACACATCCATTAAATGTTCTCTAAAATTACACAATCTTTTTCTTTCATGCTTTCTTTGTCTTTTTAGACCAGCTGATAATGTAGGATGACAATAAAAAAAGTCATTTTAGTTTTGATATTGCAGCCATCCAGGGGCAGCAGGTATATGTAGTCTCTAACTGGAGTCAGTGGTTTTGCACAACGTGTTTCAAACTGTTGGATAATAGCCATGGAAACGTCTTTGCTTAGGGTTTCATCAAATCATTTTACTGTTCGCTAACCCTAACCCCAATGGAGTTGAATTGAAACTTGGGAATTATTTGTTCTCTAAAAACAAATAATTTTTTACCCAAAGGATGGTTTTTATTATAATTTTGCAGGCCGACACGAAGCTATGATGAACCATGTGATACTAAGAGAATCTTTCATGGGAAAAATGTGTGTTATTTTTAAAATTGGTTTGAGGCTCATAACCAGTAACCAATAAAGTTTACGAGGCAATATGAAGATTAAAGAGAAAACAATCTGCTCCCAGTAATAATTTAACTTCCCAAAGCTCTTTGCAGTATGATTCTGAAAAACCCTGACAACAAAGAGATTCTCTGAGGAAAAGTCTCCACAGGATTCCCGAACTGAAAGTAGTAAATACTATTGCCAATGATTGTCAAAGCCTCCGATTCAGAGACCGATAATGTATGATAATGTATTCTTTCTGATCCGTCCCCGTGCCAAAGCGCACCACAGGTGTGCCGAGAAGCTTGGCCGAGAAATTAGCAAAAGGGCGCTTGGCACGATGGGCAGGGCGTATTCCACTGCGATCCGGGCACAGCTGGGTTCATGAAAAACAAGTCCTCAGTGTACTGTAGTTCAGACAGAGCAACAACAAACCCACCATGAAAACAAAGAAAAATTGTATATTTATCCTGCCGTGATATTATTTCCTTGGAAACATCAGACTGTACCACAGAGAACGTACATCTGTCAGTAGTTTCGTTTAAACATTAATGCGTAAGCTGTTGCGCAAATGCATGTATCCTGCATATGCCGGGAAGTATAAAGAGGGAAGGATCAGGGGGAAACACGGGCTGAGAAGAGAGAAAAACAAGGGAGGGCAGGGGGGAGAGAGGACAGGAGCAAGGGGGGAGATCAGAGAGAATGGAGGAAATAACAAGTGGGGAAGAGAAGAAAAGAGAGTTCAGTGGAGGACAGGAATCGCTGGGAGGAGAGAGGAAAGCCCGGTAAATAAAATAAAAAAACAGGATCATAAGAGTTGAGGAAAGGTAAAAGATCAGGGGAGAGCTGGGGCAGATGAAGTGCAGCTCTAACAGATAAGGGGAGAGGAGGGGATGGATCAGGAGGAGAGAGAAGGGCGAGGGATGGAGAGATGCAATCTTTGCGCGAGACCGTACACTCGAGTGGACAAAGCTTCTGGTATGCCGGAGATATCTCAGTGCTTATGAGAAAGCTCTCTCCCTCGCAGCTCCACTGTTTGTCTACGAGCCTCCACAAAAGACAGTTCAAGAAAAACACAGGCAGCAGAAGCATTATCTCTCAGAGATTACCTATAGAAAGATCAACGGTGTAAGCTTCTATGGCGCCTTGGAATGGCCGTAATGAACATTTATATACAGTATATCTCTTTCTGCACAGGTGAAAAAGGACGTTAGGGAAAAAAGCACGATGAGCCACGTGTTGAACGCCTTCCATATATTTTGCAAAGCACTTTTTCCCACAGTTCTGTCAAAACTGTCCAAAGGGGCTATTTCCCTGTCACTGCCGATGATGTTTTTACTCTACAGTATATTCATCTCTCTCCAGTTTTCTCTGCTCTCTTTAGGTCTTTGAAATGTGGTACTCAGTCTTAAGTCCTCGCTTTTCATCTATTCACATTACATTACTTGATACTTGTTAGAAGCTTTTATCCAAAGCGACTTACACACTCAATACTGTGGGCAATCCCCACAGAAGCAATTTGGGGTGAAGTGTCTTGCCCAGGGACATAGCGACATGCTGACTGCAGTGGGGTTTGAACATGTGACCCCCTGATCCAAACACCAAGGTTCTATCCACTGCGCCACACGCCTCCCACATGATCCACTTACAAATGCATTTATTACATAAGGAGTTTTTAGTTGAAATGCGTTTTATATGCGTATTATATCATTCTATTGGTACTGATACATGTGCTGGTATTTATATGTTGATCCGTTTTTGGATCCGCATGTATAATTGGACCATATAAGAATACTATATGGTTTTGTTGATTGTTATAAATCTCGTATTAATGGTCTCTTCTCTTTAATGTATTTTTATGCATTCTTCTTTGATTAAGACATAAACAAAGAAATGCTTGTTTTGAATGTCTACTTTATGAATATAGTGGAAACGTCCTTGCATTCTGCCAACTCTTCAGTGGCCAAACTAGATTGAAGACATTGCGATAATTACATATTATAAGGCAATCTCTGAGCCCTCATTTCCCAGTTTGACACTGTCTATTAACAACTGGCTGATTACATTCTGAATGGTTGATCATTTACAAGACAATGACACTATGCAGAATGATATCTGCTCTGCTACTATTGGATTTGAGCATCTGACACAAAACGTCTAATATCAAAGAGTGTAAGAGTGGTACAGTACACCATATTTTCTATTCATTTACTTGGTTTGCATCCGATCTAAGTGGAAGACATTTCACTGTATCGCTCAGCAATTGAATGCCTGGCGATACGATACCAACGAGACTAAGCTGTACAAATCCATTATCATAAAGAAACACAAGCACTGCTTTAAAGGAGTAGTTAAATACTTTAGGAGGTGGGCTTATTTGGTTTCTTCTTGATTCGTGGTGTCCCTGAATAAGAATTTACATAGTCAAATCTGATTGGTCAACGCTTGGATAGTATGAAGTTGTGTTTTTGTTGTGTGTAGGGGGGCGGCACAGTCCATACTGGAACAGAGTGGACGAGATAGATAACAAACAGACAGACACAGACAGAAAGCCTAAAAGACAGCTTTTCGAGGTTGTAAATAGATATTTTGTCTTTAAATCCATTCTCGCCAATTTACCATTCCATTCTCGACGAGAGTGAGATAGACGTGCTGCCTCTTGCTGATTTAACAGGGAATCATACATTCATACATTCCAAATATATGTATTGCTCTGATAGTACTACGGTCTTTCATGAGTGCTCTGATTATTAAATGTATTCTCAGATTTTGAAACAGCAGCCTTATGTTGTTGTTATTTAGCCTTCCTGAGGCTAGTGCAAAGAACCTGCTCCTACAGTCCTGCGAATAATCATGGTGATTTATGCATGCACAGTAAAGAGTAAAGAGATCGCAAATGACAGCACATGAGCTATTTTCAAATGTATTAACAGTATTATTAATAGGCCGATATTTACACCAAAATGGGGTGTATACTATGGTTTATTGGGGGAAACCAAGCAATGTGATAATTGTTGGTAATTCAAAGAAGATTGACAGCACTCTTGTTAGTGCAATCAGCAAGAAGAAGAATATTAGCTTAGCTTAGCATACAGACTGTAACAAGAGGAAACACCCTCTTTTCAAAGTTTGCTAATCTGCCTATTAGCACCTCTAAACCTCAGCAATTAGTAATGAACACATTAAGTCCTGTTTGTTTGATTAGAAATATAAAAAGGAGAGAGAAAAAAAGGGCCCTTTGATGTACATTGTCAGTGTCCTAAACCTTAAGGACGCCCTAAATGTTTGCTAATAGAGTGATGCAGGGATGATGTATTTGTGGTCGAACAAAGCCAATGGGATTTTTCCATCCGATTTGGGAATATTGCATAAAAAACAAACTACATCACGGTCACATGACTTTATGTCACCATCGCTAAGCTAAAGGCGTAGTCTTATTTATTCAATTGTTAGAAACTGCCTTTTTTAAGACTCCTGAAATAACTATTGACTTCCAGACAAGGCAACCGGGAAGTGCTAAAAAGCTCTATGGCCCTCTGATTTAAAATAAACAAAGGCTTTTTGTATATTATATTCTACTTACCAGTAGCATAAGTGAGGCCCCAGACCTCCTGTCCATAAACGTCCGTCTTGTTCCACACCAGCCTGTGGACCAGGCCGGGCCCCGCGGGGTACCAGCGCTGGTACATCCTGCCCTGGACCGAGGCGCGGACATGCACCTTGGACAGACCGCCCAGTGGGGAGACGGGGGACAGCAGGGAGGGAGGGGTGAGGAGGATTCTCAGCAGAGAGAGGTAGCCTGCAGCGCGGGTGCTCAAATAGTTCAGCTTCAAAAAAGCCCCGGGGATCGAAACTTCATCCTGCACCGCCTGGGGAAAACAAGAAGGGAACAGAGTTAGATTGCAGGAGACGGACAGTGAAGAAATTAGAGGATAAATGAAATGTGTATTTGTTTTTTGAGCTGACATAATTAGGTCTTTTGGTAGGTACAGGATGAAATAGCTCACAGTCAGGTGCAAAGAGAACAGCAAGCACGTGTTAGCTATGTAACAACAATAAATACAGAGAACCTTTTCATAAAGAACATAACGTCTTTTTATTTCAATTAAAGGTATTGTTGGATTTAGCTGATATTTACGGAGCCCTGGAGGGTTCATAGAGAGAAAAAAACGAGGCCACGTTTTATTAATTTGTGCGCACAAGATGTAATTCGTGGCCTCCATTTAAATAAAACGAGGCCACGCTTTATTAATTCCTGCGCACTTTGTTATGGTTAGGCACATCGAACTGCTTGATTATTACGCCATATTATTAGTTTTATGAAGATGCCTGGTCGCCAGGGTGTGTGTGTGTGTGTGTGTGTGTGTGTGTGGGCTTTTGTTTTCAGAAGATATTATGATAGTGGCGTTCGTTACGGTGCACTCCGAGAGCATTTAGCACTAGCCTACATCGAGATTAAGATTAAACAAACTTCTTTAACTTGGGAACAGACATATGGAGATGTGTGTAAATTACTGTTCATGGTAATTTGAAAACAAATGCCGGTGTCGTCGGACACACACACCCACACAGAGCTGAGCAGAGCACAAACACATCATGTAGCATTTCACGTTACCATAGCAAAATCAACTTCCTGTCAACAGGGTAAACTCACCATCAAAATAAAAGCATCTAAATAAAGCAGAAAGTTAACCTAAATTACATTTAAGACATATACAACTGCAACAAAATTAACAAAAACAATGTCATGTCCTTTTCACTTTCACAGAACACAAATTGGGTAATTTGAACTCTCCTGTTTTGCGAATCCGGTGCTTAAACAAATAGCACATCACATCTGGCCGAAATGTCCCTAAAATGAAGTCTGAGTTTGAAATATATCTCAAATAATGTATGCAGTATGCACTGCCATTTCCCCACATACACATAACAGTCTGCAATGAAACGGTTGTCTCCTGTGCGCTCCACTTTCTACTTGGTGCACCGGTAACGATCTTGTGCGAACGAGAAAGTATATCGTGTGCACAAATTAATAAAACGTGGCTTCGTTTTATTTAAATTGAGGCCACGAATTACATCTTGTGCGCACGAATGACATGTCGTGCGCACAAATTACATCTTGTGCGAACAAATTAATAAATCGTGGCCTCGTTTTATTTATTTTTTCTCTCTATGAACCCTCCAGGGCTCCGTAGATATTTATACCTTAGAGACTAACAAATAAAAAGCCAAGCTAATCTCTCAGACACACATTGAATCTGCTGCAGAAGCACACAATTATTCATCTGCTCCAACATTTCTCTTGGCTTAATCAGATACTGTTTTAATCAGTGATTACCTTAAATCAAATTAACTCGGAGACGACTGCCTCGCACACACTTTCATCCCGCGTCTAAAAAGGCTTTGATTCCCTCTCTTAACAGAGGTGAACACAGTGGGTGTTTCTAAGCTCCCCTGGAATACTAAGTACTGTTCTTTCAATTTACTTTGTTGCCTCCTGTTTGTCCTGGCTGAGGTGTTATTTGTCATGAGGATAAAATGTTCCTTCATTTTGACAATCTGTTCATCTCATCTGATTCTATTAAATTAACTTGTGAGGTGGCGTGTTGTGGATGTGAATGACATTATTTAGAAGCAAAAAAACATCTTGTTCTCCTGCCTCAAAAGGATCGCGTGACCGTTGGATATGACTTTTTTTTGCAATCTATCATGTGTCCGGGAAACAAATAAACAACTCTCTGTGTACCGAGATATTGAGTTGGAACTGAAATTAGGTCAGGATTAGGTTTTGGTAAAAAAAAAAAACTGGAGTCACGTCTGAGGTTAAATGTATAATCACCAGTCTGACCTCCACACCGACTTTCATCCACCTGATTTGCCTTTTTGGTGGGGAAGTATATGGATGCAGTACACATTTGCATTTTGCTCATTTCTCCTTATTTGCATGATGCAAATGGAGCTAAATTTGCAACATCCTGTGAGAGCAGGTTGGTTTGCTGCTCAGCTGTAACAAATTGAGTTTTTACTGCCTGTCATCTGTACACAGGAAGCAGTGCTTTGTTATGTTTCATATTAGAGCTGCACAATAAGTACAATTCTATAGAAATCGCAACAGTGTAATATTCAAATGCTAAATATGTGTTGAAATCCCATCCTGAATGAATTTTGGGCAGTGAAAGGAGTATCTAACACTGCACTGTAACTCTGATTCATGTATTTTATACCTATATTACTCTATATTTGCTTGTTTAATGTTAACTGACTGTTTTCAAATATTTGTAGATGGTACTTTATAAGGTGATTCTGCTGCACCTTTTCTAAATGCTCCCAATCTTTTTCATTTTTGGATAGCACCTTGAATTGCCTTGTGTTGAAAGGTGCTATACAAATACACTTGCCTTGATATTTTATTAAAAAATGTTATAATGATAATGTGAAAAAATGTACATGATGATCAATCCCTCCAATATCAAATCACTATAGCAATTTCAGTCCAAAAATAATGGTTATTACCCAGTTTTCCTAAATCTTGTAACTTGTTTCTTGATTGTATGGGCCTGTTGTAACTTATACATAATCGCCTGATCGCGATCATTTGAGCTGACAGCAGTCATTTTGCCTAGTCGTCGGATTCCATAATCAAGGGAATATAAAGCCAATGTGAAGTAGTGAAGTATTGCGTTCCCATTGGCTGGGTAAATAAAGTGTCTACCTGGGCTGCAAGGATCCAACGACAGAAAAAAAAAGAAGAGTTTAGATCTCACTGCTGCAATTACTTCTCTTTCAGCTCTTGTAAGAAGGTGTTTGTTGCTTCTGAAGCGAGAAGATGACAGAGAGGTGCTGATAATGGGTCTCTTTATTTTTAGCGGTGTGTCTCCCCCGGGCTGCAGCAATGTGTTTGACAGCTCTATAGAAAGCTATGCTGGGGTTGTTGCTTCCAATCCAACTTTTCTAATGAGATAATTCACATTAAAATGTTTGGATAGAAACATGGTGTTAGGAGATAGGTGTGGGCGGGTGGATGCGCTCTGAGGAGAAAGGTGTTGGCGATCCGAGCAAGGCGGAAATGAACAGGTAAAATGACAGTAGTGAATGTAAAGAGTAGCCTTCAGTTTATCCATGTTTAAACGCTGCAGCTTTCTAAAACTTAACTAAAGATCCTGAATCTCCCAACTGCTGTTGAAGTGGGATTGGTTATCACTGGCCCTGTGATTATTTTTGTTGCATTTGTACTGACGTAAATAAGCAACACGTTCTCACTCCCAACCCGTCACACGTTGACGGACGGTCAGGGCCCCTCCCCGTCACTCTATTACGGACAGGGTACCCCTTGGATGTCAGTTTTCAACGGGCAGTGCGTCCCATAGACCTTCATAGACCTCCCATAGCGTTGATAATAGACGCCACAAGAACGTTCCCCAACGGTCGGTTGTAATCAATATTAATATAATAATTATTTATTTTGTAATAGTCACACTCGATTTCGCCGATTTTCTGGTTGCCCCAGCTGGTCGACACCTCTTTTAGCAGAAACAAAGGCTACATTAATGTATTAATGCCGTTGTCCGTTACAAACTCTTCAACTACAACCCTAATTACATTTAAAAACATTTTAGAAGGCCTCACGAAATACTTTAATGTAAACTAAAATGTAAATGTGAAGGGATGTGTGTAATGTGGTGATTATTATTCACCCACGGATCTATGGGTTTGGGTATTGTTCCGCACGGACATTTTAGTTAACCGGACTTCCTGTTGATGTGAAATCCGAATACATTTAAAAAAAATAAAATAATACTTTCTATTCCGAGTTTGGTTGCTTTTCTCTTTGGAGGTCATCACATAACGGCATTGTAATACACGGTTCGGCTGCATTAAATATTACACATCTGCCGTAGTTCGCTATTTATAGAGCCCTGGTGAGAAGACTTCTAGACAAACAGGAAGAACTGCCGCCGAAACTGAATATGTGACGTGGATCATAAATATATCAGCAATTAAACAAAATCTTTAATTTCTCTTCACATTATACTGTAAGTCTCCTAGCAGTATCAATACTAATTCGGCTGACTTTTATATTTGATCCAATCAGTATATTGGTATATTTACACCATAACGGTGCACAGCTGACAGAAAGGGACACCTGGTGGTTAAAGCATGTTATTGAAATGTATTATTTGTATTATTAGATATTAATAGGAGACACAGACAGACAAACTAATAAGGCTTTATTTAAACATTAAAGAATACTTTAGGTTAAGGTCTTATTTTGAATAAGGGGGTATAACATATTAAGCCTGACAAAGTACTAATATATTGCTTTTCTGCAATGTTAACTACTGCATGTTTAAGCACTTATTTGAACTGATATTATACGTATTATACTCTTATAAGATGTATGTAGATAGTATAAGAAATGTGCAGAATACGACTAATGTGCAACCATTTTTGTTACATTACATTTTTAGAACTAGGTTTTCTTTCTTTTAAATATTATTAATTGCAGGAATTGTATGCCTTTATTTAATAACGATAGTTGAGAGAAACAGGAACATTTGGGAGAGAGACACGGATTAGAGAGTTAGCCATGCCAGGAATCGAACCGGGCACTGCTCGCATGTGGTAAGTACGCTAACCACTAGGATATGGGACAGACCCAAGACACGTTTTTTTAAATAAATCTGTTCAGCAGAGCAATGGGTAAAACTTTGTTTCCAAAAACGATTTCAGAATTGATTGACAATTGATTGACAAATTGCAACAACTTCCTGATTCCTGAATGGAAATGAGTCATCAACTATAATTTATTTTCCTGAGAGGCTTTCGATGGAGTTTTGTGGTGTCATACCTGTAGCTCCGGCACTGCGGGCCCCTTCTCTGCACACGCTCCCATGTATCTGGGGAGCGGGTATGGCAGCACCAGCGGGTAGGGACTCAAAACCGTCCTGATGTCACATTTGGGAGGCGGAGCTTCTTCCCTGGACATGGTCACCTGATCCAGAACCAGGAAGTTGTTGTTTGGCGTCCAAATGGTGCGTGTTTGTGGCAGAAAGGGGGGCCGCTGGAACATCAAGGTCATGGCCATGGCGCCCAAGGTCACCAGGTCGAAACTAAAGGTAGAAGACAGTAAGACAATAAGATTGAAGGATTACGGGGAATAACGAAAAGTGGATTTTGAGGATTTTGTAACTGGATTCCTGTACCTCCCATCCTGCCTGCTGATGGTGTAACCGTACTCTGGATGCTGCGGGAAGGTGATGTTGACGCCAACCAGAGGAGAGCCGTCCTGCAACGCCACGCTGCCTCGAATCACAGCTACCCGACTGGAAAAACAAAGGGGAGCAGAGAGGGATACACAATGAAAAGAGAAGACATGAATGGTTTACAATGATGGAGAATGTAATGATTGTTTGCAGAGAGCCATATTGTGCCGGACGACCTTGTGCCTGAAGAGAAAAGCAACTGCAATTATTCTGCTCGCTACAATTCCCTCCTTTACAGAGAAATCTGCCAGAGATTGCCAGGATACAAGGGCCATAAATATAGCTTCACCCACAGTAAAACCTTTCAACACCCTGTCATATAAAAAAAAACCAACGTCCACATCATGTTTATATCACACAGTGACAGTGTTACCTGCAGCATTAAAGCTCTTTAAATAGACCCTAAACTATCAGCCACTATTTTGAAATATTCATCTTGTTTTGCAGGGTGAGATACACTGCTTAAATCGCAGAACTGGTCAAAGGAAGACAGATTAGGACGGACACATGTGTTGCACGCATTGATGGAGCCTATCTGTTACTCAGGGAAGAGGGATAAATGAAGTATGGCGAGGTTTCTCCGGGTGGCTGCATCGCCCCGTTTGTTACCCCTGTGCTGAAAGCTGCCATCGATTTCCCCTCTGAAGAACCTGCCACATAATTAATGTATTTGTTTATTCGACAAGTGAACCGAAGAGGGGGGAAAAAAATGCACTTTGCCATTTTTCACAGAGGCATCGCTGCTTGTTTTTTCCAAACTTTCTAGGTCATCCTGTTGCCGGCGATATGTATTTCTCTCTCATATTGCAGCGCTGAAAAATTAATGGGGACACCTTAAAGACTGTTGTAACTGAATGACACATTAGTGTGTAACAAGCAAATGCAGTTGTGGTGGCTTGACAGTGATACTTGGGAGGACGCTTCGCTGCCATGTGACTGCTAATCTCCATGGGAACGCGATCGCTGATATGTGTGCACAGGCGTATAAACACGGGGAGGAAAAAAATGCCTCATTTACATGCAAACGCACATGCTATCATTAAACAAATAACAGGGAAAAATGGACGATTCAATGCATTAACACAGATGTATTTGCTTCATTATCTACTACTCATGGCTTTACATGCTATATAGGAGGACATCTGAAGGGCATGGAGGAAAACAAATACAAAAAGCATGCAAACGCAGACCCGGGCAAACAAGAGCACATACCTGGTATCAAAGGGCACGTCTCCAGGGAGAGTGTGTGTGGCCGATTTGCCGAGGAGGAAGCGTATGCGGCGGTAGAAGCTGTGCATGTGTGTGCCGGCGGGCGAGGGGGGTACGGCGGGGGTCAACGGGCTCTGCTGCAGCAGGGCCAAGGGGTCCGTGGAGCCGTGGCACAGAGGGTCCGAGCCGCAACTCAGCTGCTCGCAACAATCAGGGTCCACGCAGTCCATGAGGCCATCTGAAATTACAAGGGAGGTTTAAAAATGCATGAAACACTTTAAAATATTTATAGAATGTGAGGAGGGGGGGATTTACAGAGTCAATACAGGCGAGATCTTTATTGTGCGTACTTTATAAAGGCTTTAATAGAATTAAGTGACTAAAGTGCTGAGAACACATTTCTATTCTAAAGGCCAAGGTACTGTATATATCTGCAGTGAAAAGACATAAAAAACCATAAACCCTGCCAAGAAATAATTCTGCTGGCCTGAGAGGAAGTCATCTACAACAATGAAGTGTGCATGTATCGCCATTATCACGAGTGTCAATCAAATAAGATTCAATACGGGGGCCATCAGTGTACAATTATAGCATCTATTGTTATGAATCAGACGGGTATTATTCCAATGTGATCCGTAAAAGTCCGGCGTAAACAATGAGCCGCCGAGGCAAACCAAGGCGGCAGGTAATAGGAGCCGGGATGGCATTTGTGTTTCCTATTTCAAGTGTGCTCCTGAAAAGGCAGGAAGCAGTGGTGACATTTAAATGCATCTGGCCACGGAGCAGAGAGCGAAAGGCCAACAATACTCTATTATGTCCTCGTAGAAAGCTAGCCTACTACAATGGTTGATTTCCATAAGACTCCCTACTTCAACTTGAAAGCACGGCAATAATTGAAATTCTAATATCATTGTCATTACACACGTGTGTTGCCTATTATGCGGGCATTTTTGTTTACCCGTTACATACAGGGAAGTGCAGTGAATGTGGATTTTGAACATGTGTAATATAAATATGTATGATTTCACTGTGTGTGTGTGCGTGTGCGTGTGCGTGTGCGTGTGCGTGTGTGTGTGTGTGTGTGTAGAAAAGGATGTTTTTGTGGAAGAACAATACGAGCGCTCGGCTCTCCCATCCAGGCGGAATAATTGGAACTCTCTCTTCAAAGTTCCTCTTTATTCTCTGATTACTTGTGATAGCATCTTTCCATCTCTGTCTATCTTCAGAGACAAAAAGATTGCAGCGAGAGAAGGCTATGAGAGCCTACGGAATATCTGCCAATTAAGGGGCGATGGCTGAATTGTGTGGTAGAAAATTATGGTTTCTCAAGCTGTGCAGAGAGGTGCAAGGATAGAAAGATAAGAGAAGTGTAAGTGGTCTCCATGAGGCTTTGTTAGTGAGTCTTTCTCCAGCGTAATCATTCCTAAACTCAACGGTTTGATACATACGGTACGGACGCCTCATCAATATTCATATGGCATTATAAAAACCTTATAATGTCATACAGGGCTTTTTTGCAGATAGCGCCATTTATGGTAATGCAGAGAGAAACGTGTCACTTCCTCCACCCTCTCTCCACCTCAACCTCCCGGCTCATTCAGAGAGAAAAATAAACAGTTTTTATTTAAAGGGACAGTCCAGGCATTTAGTTGCATAATGTGGAACGTGTGTGATAAGAAAAAGACACATTAAAAAAAATAAGTTAAAGGAAGCAGCAGAGGCTGAGATATCCTGACTTTTAGTCCAAATGTTGGTTAAACTACATAAAAACAGGATCCTTCATTTCCCACAATTCAACAAACATCACCCGGCCATGCGCGAGACTTTCAAAGTAACAGCAGACTTTTAGCGAAATAGTCATATTTGGTTTTTTTGCAGATATGGGTGAGAAGATCAATATTGCTATCATATCTGTCCATTCAATGTAAGTCTACAGCTAGCAGTTAGCTTAGTTTAGCTTAGCACTTAAATCAGGGGAAATGATTAGCCTGGCTCTGTTCAAAGGTAATACAATCTCAAACAAGGATCTCCAAAGCGCAGGGATTCAAATCTCGTTTGTTTTTCAAAAACGAGTGCATTGACTTCCTACAGATCTCGCAGCCTCAGAATGACTACAAGACTTTACTTCTCCTGATATCGAACATTGATCAATTGTATCCCTGTTCATATTGAACTCCCTGCAAGATTGTAAAGCATAACCCAAAATTCAACACCTAAATCCTAAATGATTTGAGTCTAGATGAGAACATATCTTGAAGGATTGTCACAGACATGAATCGGTTTTTAAACTATTTCCTTTTTTTTCAATGGTAGCATATCTATTGATTTAAATCAAACATAATTCAATGAAAGTAGTGATCTTTTTTTTTTTGAACAACTAGATTAAATAACCCGTTCTGACACAAAAACATTAAGAGATGAGTCAAAGTTGCCCCTATTTTTTACCCTATCATATGAAATATCTTTTGATAACCAAATAAAATCAGAACAATGACTTAATCCATAAATTAAATACGAGAAAACCATCAGTGCCTACACTGCTGGCAGACCGCAGTCCCGCTGTGACTTGTTTCTTTTATTTAGCCGCACTACAACACATTAAGTTTATAATCAGGCAGAGTGAAAACCTGTATTTCATGTTTTGAGCAGCCATCTGACTGACTTTCTGAAGTGTTGACTCAGTCAGTCATGCAGCTTTGGTAAACAATGTGAAGGTTACATTGTTGCTTTCAGCCGCCCAAAAAAGGACTACAAAAAGTGTGTTAGGCGTTTGAGGTTTCCCGCTGCTGTGTGCACTGACTCAAACGCCATGCCTCATAAAAACATGGAACCATGCACAACAAGCGGGGAGCATTTCCTCCACACAGAAGAGACACTGCCTTGTTTGCAATGATGGATTACAACCTGCTTAACAGGCATGTCTAGAATGGATATTTGATGTTTCAAAATGAACTGGCACAGGTGAAAGGAATGTATGATCTCAAAAAAAGTGTTGGGAAACCTACTAAGAAGGGACTAAAATAGGGAGACGATTATGGAAATGGGTAGAGATTGCGCTCCCGCTGAAATGCTCCTTCCCTGAATCCTTACCTGAAAAGAACAACCCTGCTCTGAAGCTGAGTGACACACACCTCTCACCTGTCAACAAACAGCCCCTAACCAGAGAGCTCTTTTCTGCATGGGTTGCTGTATTAGGACTTGAGAAAGATTTTCTCTGAGTGCCTTTTTATCCCTGCAGGAGGTATGCATATTAGACATTTAGCTGTGATAAGAAGAAGAACACACACACAAATTCAGATTCAATGCAATAATGACCAGCGGGACTCTACGGGAGTCTCAGCAGGACTGGGACAGGAAAACAAAGATTTTCCAGCAGGAAAAAAAGGAGGAAGTAAAACAGAGCGGACAACGTGCCACAGAGACAGAAATGAAAGAGGTGAGAAAAGAGAAGAAGAGATAGAAAATGAAGGATGGAGTTGGAATGTCACCTCCGTCGTTGTCTGTTCCATCACTGCAGTCAGTTTCCATGACAACGCTGCATCCAGGCCCACTCCATCCCGCCTGGCAGACGCAGCGCCAGCCGCTCTGCTCCAGGGTGCAGCGCCCGTGCCCGCTGCACAGCCCGGGGCATCCATCTGAGAGAGGGGTGTCCCACGTGCAGATAGACAGACACACACACACACACACACGCACACGCACACGCACACGCACGCACACACATACACACACACACTAAACAAATGGGAGAGACATAACAAGTGTCAAAAGATAGATAATGGGAAGAGAGAGGGAGGTAAGCAGAGAACAAGGGAAGGGGAGAAATTCCCTAATTACACATGTAACAGTAAAGTATGGGCTTTTAAACTCATTACTCTCTCCTGTAATTGTATGCTTGTCTTGCAGCTGACTCGCAGGAGATCAAAGAGTAATGCTGAGAGAAGCAGAGTAGGAATCAAGTAATTATCACTTAAAAGATGAAGCATCTTTGCTTGCCTTTGCTGTAAACCCCTTTCCTCTCCACATGTGTTTGACATTAGCCGTCCTGTGCCCCATTGGTGAAGACATTCTGAGAACACTAAGAGATCCTGACTAAAAGGAGGCCCAAGGCACGAGGAAGTCTATTTATAGACCTGGGTCACAACAAGCTGCCACTAATTAGGCAGGTTCATCATGAAGCGGGAAAAGGTATAGTGAAACAGAGGAGAAGAGAAATGCTGTAAAGGGGTTAGTGGAAATATGGGTTGAATATTTAAAGGCACAAAAGCTAAGAAATGTATGGCAGAGGTTGTGAAATATGTCATTTATTTACTTGTTTATCATCCCTAATATGTAGTTTATAGCTGTAATTACTAATTTTCAGTACTTCAAAAAAGTAAACAAAGACACAAATATGTTAGAAACTGGATTTGTTTGATTTGCTTTTTTTTGTTGCTGAAAACAGCTGCTGCAGTCCAAATGTTCTCTAATGAGAGTGAAGCAAAACACAAAGGTTGATGACAGAAAACTAAAACAACTAATATAGGTACCAGGTTTTGACTATGAAATAAAAAGGCAATGTTTCTGGTTCTGATGCATAGATTTGTTTCTGATTATTTAAACTGTCCAATATGAGTCCAACAGTGTCAAAGGGGTGCAATGCATCAGTGGAGTGCTCTTTCAGAGGCTGCTGTCAAAATATTTGTACTCTTTGGCAAGACTACCCCTGCAGCATAAACCGTAATGTAATAATAGTTGATTTAAAAATGTATTAAGCAGGTGTGAATGTGTTTGTGACTATCCAGGGTATAACCTTTGCCCAATGCATGCTGGGAATTCCACATCTTCAATTGTCTGCACGTTTCAGAGATTGGCACTGCAGTAAAACCTTTAAACATAAATATATTAAAATACATCGGGCAGTAAACTTGACTCAGCCAGAAAAGTAATAATATACGTCCATTCATGTACACTTCCAAAATCCACTAATGTTGCATGTGGTGCGACTGAAATACTTGGCGGAGTTCTTATTTGGTCTGTGGCTCGGGGATGGGGGAGTTACTCTTCACAAGAGCAGAAACGTTGGAATAACAAAATGCTCCTGACGCCAGAACCTCCTCATAGATCCTGCCAGGGTGTCAACATGCCCTGCAAGAATGTGCTGAGCTTCATTCTTGCCAAGGGTCAGTTGAGTAAATGTGCGTGTGTGTGTGTTTGTGTGTGTGCGGATATATTTCTATCTGTGGGATTGTCTGTGTGTGTGTGTGTGTGTGTGTGTGTGTGTGTGTGTGTGTGTGTGTGTGTGTGTGTGTGTGTGTGTGTGTGAGAGTGTGTGTAGGCGAGTATACGTGGGGTTTAGGGTGGGACAGCTGGAGACATGAGACAAAGAGCTCAGGTTAAAGAGGCTGTTTGGTGCAAGAGGAGGACACCACTGACTAACAGTTACTAATACAGTTAGTTACACTTTAATAAAACATTGTTACTGTAGTGAAAGAAAGGAGACCAGGTCAACGGAGACTGTGCCATTATGTACCCATCCCGTTGAGGTGTCCTTGAGAAAAGTACACTGAATCCCTCCCAGCTTTGTCTCTGACCTTCCCATTAAAGGCATTATGTACATACTGTATTTGGTTATACACAATAACCCTGCAATGCAAGGTGCATTTACTTTTTCTTACAATATGTAAATCATATTTCTCAGTCCTGTTTATGGGAACTGGGAGTGGAATTTCTCCGCACCATTTTGCTCGGCAGCTGTTGCCCAGAGCAGCAGTCGTCCCTGTCTGCGGTGCCTATGCAAGCCAGGCCGGCCCACACACTGTGGGGATGAGCGGTGGCACAGGAAGATCCCATAATCCCTGTTGGTGAGAGAGAACAGTCACATACAATCAGGGAAAGGTAGAAGAATACCTTTGTTCTCTGTCTGTATGAATAACAAAGCGTGTACTTTTCTCATATTTGCATGAGGGAATTTCTCCACATGTGTATGTGCATATTTCCCCCGGGTATATGCACCCACTTTGTCCAGTATATTGGGGTGAAGGTGCTTTTCACTCAGGTGAAAGAAGGACCAAGTCAGTGTTTATAACAAGGGGAAATACAGTAACTGCTGTGAAGGATGCTGCTCTGCACAAAGACTGATTCACAGGGCTGATGGGAACATGTGTGCAACACATGGTGAGGCCTGAACAGAGTGAGGGCCATGGGCTGGAGAGGCCCATGGAGACCGGGCTACAAACAACCGCACACCACACACACACATTATTTTTGCTGTGTGTGTGCGTGTGCGTGTGCGTGTGCTTGTGCGTGTGTGTGTGTGTGTGTGTGTGTGTGTGTGTGTGTGTGTGTGTGTGTGTGTGTGTGTGTGTGTGTGTGTGTGTGTGTGTGTGTGTGCGCGTGTGATTGGTATGTTGGGATGAGGGATATCCGGTGGAGTGCCAGCGTGTGAAAGTGTCTCAGAACACACAGAGAGCTCTGAGACTTGATTACAGCTAATTGCAAAGATGAAGCACAACAGCTGGAACCGCCTTGCTGCCATTCAAAGACACCGAGCACACACAGAGACACAAACCCTCCCGCACACCAACCACCCCCTGGTTGTTGTTTCTTTTAGTAGGACAGAAGAAAAAAAAGCTCTGTCTTTGCACCTCACCCCTCATTCCTCTGGCTCCACAGCTCTTGGCAGGGCCGGATCTGCAGCTCAGAGCTCTGCAAGATGACTGAGAGGTTGTTGGAGTTGATGCGCTCTGGCTCTGGCTCTGGCTCTGGCTCTGGCTCTGGCTCTGGCTCTGGCTCTGGCTCTGGCTCTGGCTCTGGCTCTGGCTCTGGCTCTGGCTCTGGCTCTGGCTCTGGCTCTGGCTCTGGCTCTGGCTCTGGCTCTGGCTCTGGCTCAGGCTCAGGCTCAGACTGCTGAGGCGGCTTTTTTCAGCTGTGGGGTTTCCCCCCTTGCTGTGGCATTGATGGAATCCTAAAGATGCTTGCAGCCAGATGTCTCAAAGACAGAGAGAAAGACAGAGGGAGAGACGGAGGCAGCCAGCAGCCTGCAACATGCGTGATCTCTGTTCAGGCTCCACAACGCCTTAAAAGCAAAGATGTCTGCATTCGTTCTAAAATAACCCATATACACACTTTTATCTTAAATAATAAAAGACACCTTTGTAGCAAAATAAGTATCAGTCATTGGAATTTGTCTAAGATTTCAAGGCAGAAATTGAATTTGGCTCTCTGCTTTAAATTGGTTTGACCAATAATAAACACTGAAAAAGACTTGGGCTGTGTTCAAGGCAAAATGAGGGAAACAGTTGTTGTTTCTAGGAAGTCCAGCCGACTGAAGAAAAAATGAAACAAACAATGGTTTGTTTACCAGACTATTGTTCTTAGGTGATCTCCGACAACAGACATACACAGTCATGGATCAGATTCCTTTCCTCTGCAACACACAAACACATTCTCTTTCCACATTTCTTTCTGCCTCACCTACCTTTGTTTCTGTCTCCCTGACCTTCTTTCCTGTCGATCCTCTGGTCTTTCTCCCGGAGACCTACTCACGCAGACAGGAAGTGTGGCCTCCTCTGGGTTTGGGCCCATCAGGTTGGTGTTTATTGTTCTAACCTCAGTGAATTAGCATTGAAGACATTGGGAACAAAGTCAAGGGCATCCGAGCCGCTGGAGGTTGCAGGGGAGGGAGAGGAAGCAAAACAGGACCAGACTGGGTTGTATATTTGTTTAGTGTTGGGTGTGGGGCTGCCAACAGCGATGTGAGGACCAGGAGTGTGAGGAGCAGGTTGCTTGGGGTCGTGTGATTGGTGCAGAGCTACAACCGTTCCTCCAATTGTGCCCTGTGGACGTCATTATGCTGCACCCAACACTCACTTCCTCGATTACAGAATGTAGAAATTATCAGATTGGATAAAGTAGGAACTGTGCACGCATTCCATAATTTCCTGATTTAAAAGAAACAGCTCAAATTCTTAGTTATACAGTTCAACCCTTAATACTCCAAACCACTTTACCATATGTGTAAAAACGTCAGCAGACACGGACAATGAAAAGACCTGCATATGGCACCTTTCTCTCCTGGCTACTTCAGGGCAATAAATGGTCAAAGTTAACGAATGAAAGTGTGTGTTCCTGCTTTGTAAAATGCCATGCAGAGCAATTTAAGTCCCTCTCCTCCACAGCAGCAGGGAACAGGAGGCTTCAGGAATGTGCTCTCTCCACACAGCTATGGAGAAAGCAGCGAGGAGTTCCCAGCTCCCACCAACATGGAGGGTAGAGTAAACATACCTCAGCTCAAATTAAATGCTTTGTTATTAGCGAAACAGTTTGTCCTTTGTTAAAATTAAAAATGCATTTTGTCCATCCTGTAACACTACTAAGGCAAAGCTGCATGTTTTAAACACTGAAAAGTCACTGAAAAAAAGATTACAAAACCACAGTATTTGAAGAAATGCATGTACAGAGTCTCAGTTAACCCTTAGATGCACGAGTGACTGGACCCTATACTCTTCCATAAGTGGGTAAAAAAGGACCCGTATTAGAATAATATGTGTTTTTATGCCAGAAAAATAACTTGTATAATATTTAGTATTATATTTTGGTTCACACTAGAAATATTTTATATTTAATTTTTCACTATTTATAATTTTAGAAAATGCTTTACATTTTGAAAAAAAAATGTTTTCCCATAGGATCCATAGAAAATGCATGCGGGTCATTTTTTAGCTTGGGGTAGTAATACAAAAACTACAATTTCTTAAAATGTAAATAACAAATTTGAATGGCATGATATCCAAAACATGTTTTTTGAGGAATAGCTGGAATATGAAATAATAAAAAAAATTTAATTACAAAGATACTTCAAGAAAACCACCTCACCGGGTCAAAAAATACCCACTTATGGAAGCTTGGGGTTAAATACAATTGATGGGCTTTCAATTCATCGATAACAAAACATGACAGTAAAAAGGCATACTGAAAGCAAGCAGATGGATGACATTTTTAGGGGACAACAAAGGTGTCAGTTTATCACAAAAGAGGGTTTATGGAAAATCTAGCACTAAGGTCAACCAACGTTATCATACAGAGTTCAGTGGTGATTGTCATAATTATCACCCAAAATAGACCTGAGCACAGGATGGTACATGTAGTCTTTAGAGTGGAAGCATGAACTTAGTTTTATGTTTTTAATATTCTTTTTAAATGAATAAGTTAATCAATAAGTACATTAAGTACTTCACAAGACCTCATGAAAGAACAACAAAGAAGTGAGGATACCCGGCCCGGAGGAAGCCCGGGGTCCCTTTCTGGAGCCAGGCCCAGAAGGAGGACTCGTCGGTGAGCGTCTGGTGGCCGGGCTTGCCACGGAGCCCGGCCGGGCACAGCCCGAAAAGGCAACGTGGGCAACACCTCCGCTTCTCCCTGAGACTGCCAAGGCACACNGCCCTCTGTGAATGTAGAGAGGGACCACCAATCAGCTCCTGTCTTCACAGTAACTCGCAGAGACGAGCTTCTTTCATTTAACCCTTCACATTCAAACAGAAACTGAATCTGTTTGAATGTGAAGGGTTAAATGAAAGAAGCTCGTCTCTGCGAGTTACTGTGAAGACAGGAGCTGATTGGTGGTCCCTCTCTACATTCACAGAGGGCCCGCTATAGTAACTGAACGAGAGAGTAATGTCAAATGACAGTACAATTGACCAATCGTATCTTCCCTCTAAATGGGTGGGCTTTATTTTCGCGGACTTTATGACAAGTTCCGTCCGCTGTGAAGTTTATGCATGTGTATAAAGAGGTGTAGTGACGCGTCCTAAAACCCGGAAGTAAGCTGCGCTCGGGTTCCCTCGACAAAAAAGCAATGAGATTTCTCCATAGGATTTTGGAAAATAGCTGGAAATAAAGTCTGTGGAAAACGAACCTGTTAGATAAATGCACGTTTTGTTCAGCCGGATAATATCCACATGTCTACCCTACTTTTATTATTTTCAAATCATAAATCTAATCGATAGATTTATGACCTAGGTATAAAAGTCACGGCTCGCCACTGCTTGGTTGGTTATTGGCTAATGGTTACACAAGCCAAAAAATCGTTATGACATCATAAAGTTGCCGAAATCTGATCAGCTGATTTTCAGACAGGTTTTTCTAAATGGATAAGGAAAGAAAATGAGCTAATCTTTTTTCCTGAGACTTTCAGAATCTCTTTACACAGAGGGGACACATGTTGATGTAGAAAAGACATGAAAAAGTGGATTTTGCATAATAGGTGACCTTTAATATAAACTGCAGTATGTCTGATTTGCGGATACAACCGCAAGACTTTAATTCTAGTGCCAAACTTCTTATGCCCACTTATAACTAATACAGAAAATTCGTAGTGTAAAAGAGCTAAAAACCGTTAAAACTTTGGCAGAAATGTTGCAGGAGCAGATTGAGAAAAATGTGTTTCCAGAGCCTTTTATGTATTTATCGCCTTCCTCACTCCCCAGGAATCCTCCACAAGGGAAACGGTGAGAATGTCTTCCTCTCGCAGCAGCCTCCTGTCATCGCCACGGTGATGGGGAACGGCTTTTACCGGAGCGTCCCGTGCAGCCCGAGCTGCAGCGGTGCCGCCCGGGACATGATGCTGTTCGCCCCCGTGGCCCTGGCCAGCGGCCCTGACGGCTCCCTCTACGTGGGGGACTTCAACTTCATCCGCAGGGTCCACCCCGACGGATACACCAGGACCATACTGGAACTCAAGTGAGAGAAATTATCTCATTGCGTGTGATAAGAGTAGTGGTCCTGATAGGAATCTTTCACAGTGAGATTCTCAGCATTGGATTGAGTCGAGCACAATTAGAGCAGAATTAGCTTGGTTGATATGTGTTAGCATGGCATTAGCTCTGGCTGGCATCTGCGCCTGTGATCTGTTTGAACTCAACAGAATGCATCCCGAAGTTTGTCTTCATGCAAAAGCAGAGTGTGTGAGGTTTAGACATCACACACTCTAATCTACCTCTTAAGGATTTGAGAGAAGCTCTTTGCTGCAAAACAAAGATTTTTTTTTGTTCCTGTGGATTATGACAATGATATCTACTACATGGCTGCAGGCACTACATTTTCTATTTCTGTATCTTCTCAAGCGTAGAATCTCAACGGGATTGCACAGTCATTTGTCCTGTAAAGTGTTCTCCTTGTGTAACTTTACTCTCTCATTCTCTGTTATTATTGTATCTCCGACTAATATTTCTGATTCAGACGGAGGTTTTCAGAGAGTCTGTATTTGATACTTCCCCATCCTCCGGGAGCAAATGCCAAAGAGCTTCCTGTTTATGTTAATATTTAATGTGAAACAATACAGACGTCTAAATCAACCCTAATCTCTCTTTATGGGGAGAAAATTGACTGATTGTAGCCTATGAAATTGTAAGTGACTCTCGTTAGCATCATAAATGAACGCTGTTTTTACCTTTTCTTCTCTCTTTTTTTTCAAACGCTCCTTTATGGCTTATTATCAGGAACCGGGACACCAGACACAGGTGAGAACTAGTGATTAACACCTGCTTTCATATCCCTGCACAACACACACACACTCACACATGATGTGTGAAGAACAAGACATGTTGCAAAATGCCTCGCAGCACTTAACCTTGGTTTCTTTGTCGCACGTTTCAAATTGCGTTGACCTGACTTCCCCTCTTCCCACACACACACACACCATACCCAAAATCTGCATGTTGCAGGCAGATCTATCAAATCCCCATTTAAATTTCACCAGTCGATATTCCATTTATAAATTGGAAATCGCCCAAAATGTCAAGGATTTCATGTTCCAGAAGATTACTGACACTCAGTTTGGTGGATGCAGCATTCACCCGCTGCCTGAGCCGGAATAAAAGCCTGGGGCCTCGCACGGCCTCAACTTCGTCCCTGGCCCCGAGCCTTGATGGTGGTGTGAGTTCTATACACCATGTTCGACAGGAGATTAGACAGATGTTATAGGTTTTGTGTGTGTGTGTGTGTGTGTGTGTGTGTGTGTGTGTG